CCCAGCTGTTTATTTATGAGATAATTGTGAGCCAAAGCATAACGTGGATTTTAATAATGACATAGAATGATTTTCCAATAATTGCTTACATGTCAATCAATCCTATCGAATGTGCAATAATGCTATTACGCGGTGCTTGATTGACAAAGGGTTAATTGCTGGATATTCAGGGGTTGGGTAATAACAGCCCTGCTTCTTCACAGCAACGTCGTAAATACGAAATATATTCAAAAGCATATCTTTTTTTAAATATTAATAATTAAGTACACATTAATAGCAAGAAGCTATATAGCATAGATTACTATTCAGATATAATAATGCAATATTAATCATACCTATGCTATATACATATATTTTTTACTAAGGAATACTTTGGGGACAATTTCATTTTCGAAATTACTCTGTTGAGGACAAGTAGCTGTTTTGGGGACCATCTCTAAAGAATTTCGAGCGTAATGGCTGTTTTGAGGACCATAAAGCGGACTGGCACACCAAAGCTGTTTACATTTCTTAAATATTAGGCATCCAGTATTTGTGATGGGCTAGAAATATTTCGTTAGATTAGATTAGCTCAAAACTCCAATATGGTGATGTTCCAAGGTATTCGTTTAAAAAAAAACATGAGCTTGCTATTGTGAGCGCGCCTTAATTTTTCTTGTCCCCAAAGTACTCCTTACTCAAGTTTATATATATACATATAAACTAAATATATCATGAAAATCAACATAATCCTCTATCATTTTATCCCATACGATATTACATCGTCCGATTAATAAAAACTATTTTTGGATGATACACGCAATTTACCCCATAAAGTCCCGATGACCTTTGACACTAAGCACTTGCATATAAGCCTGTCAAGGCTGTTAACCAACTGGTAATTAGTATACAGTTTCATACCTGTAATTGACCATAATTACATATATGGTCGGTATCACCACATATGACATCTTCATTTCCATGCACCCTTAGGCCACCATTGATACAAATTTATATATTCGAGATTGGGCAACAGGTATCTCGTTTGGTGTAATAAATCCTTCGATTTATTCTCCGTTAAGGGTACATAGACACGTGATGAGAACTGATGATACAATTTATTGGGATTATTTCCATGACAGTAAATAGTAAATAGGATCCTACTCGATGATTCTCAAGCTTATAGCGGGTATGCGTATTCGATATACAATTAACACTTTAACCTCAGTCGTCCAAGTACGATACCAGAAGTTCTAGTGAGTTTTGAAAAGTTTGAAATGGACCGTATGTCATATCGCCTAGTCATTTTCACGATGAATTACTGGGAAACAACAAATTACAAATTGCTCTCATCGTAACTATCTTCTTCAGACTCTGGCATTTCGATTTTCTCATATAGCAACTAACCAAAGATGCATGATTAGAAAGCAACATGGGAGAATAAATGTACGTTGGGATTTCAGATACCCTACGTGGACCTTCCGTGAAACGTCCAAACGAAGTAACTAGTTAGGGTTAACTACTACGCACCGAAGCGACTTAATGACAAGTTCACTTTGCTCGAGAAATCGTTTGCCACGACATAATGTCGCAGGGAAAACAGGCACTTTCTTCTGTATCTTTATCTTCTGTGCGGTGATTTTTAATCGCTAAATTTTAAAAATTCAGGAAAGTCATCGCGATGGTACCGGGGTTGCTAAAACGTTGTTTTTTTAATTAGCAATTTAACACCCTTTGTTTAAATAGGACGGTAGGTACTGTCGATATTAAGGAAACGCGATTGCTTGCTAATTGCGATGGTAATAGGAGGTACTAATAGTGATCTACCTCCATCTATGTATAACTTACTATTTTTGGTTCGTTGAGATTGGCTACACTGTTTAGATTATATACAGTCTGTGGTGCAAGTTCAGTGTAATCATTAGAAGGAGTCTCTCAGCGCAAATAAAAAAGCCATTATCGTTGATCGGTACCTTTTTACGAATAAAGTAAAAATGCGGTAACCACCTGCTGATGCTAATGGACCATCATGTTCGTTCTCTGATTTTCATGGTTAAAGAAGATGAGACCATTATCGTGATACTGTCTATATGAGGTTATTGTGGGTCGTTATTAAATTTGCAAAAGTTATTTCCGTGGTAGATACAAAAATGCTAGATTGTATTTTTTTTTTTCATTAAAATTTTTCCTTATCTGGACCAAGTTGAGTCATATATTAGTTGATCCTAGACCTTCTTTTATAATTGATCAGGTTCACGATAACGTTGCTTAAACCATAGTTATAGCACGTTGATAATAATTTTTTTTTAGATAGATCTAGCCAGTAAAACCTCGAATTTAATTTCATAGAAATTAGACTTACCAGGTTAGCTATTTAGGTTCCAGTTGTAACATTGGAGAATTTGGAGCTGGATGAGACACATTATAGTTGGGGGAATCTCGGATGTATTGTTGAAGTGTTTATAACAGAGGCCATTGCTATGTAATAATTTACAGCAGGATTCTAATCATTAATATCCTCACAATGCCCAGAGTAGGTAATAATCATTAAACCAATCCATTTCATCGCAATGATATCAACTTGAGTATGCATCTCTAGTTGTTATGTATTATCAGTAGTAATTTGGTAACAATAATTTAATCAGCTGCTTATCACATTGACAATAATGCATAGATTCATCTAATATAACAATGCTAGGGATGGGATTTGTTATAAAATAATTAGACTAATTTATGAAATTTATTATTTAGTGGTTACTTTATATATTTTATTTTAAGGTACACATCCTATAATTAGACTTTTATAATGCTACCTTGTACCGATCGTTGTAGTATTAGGATCTATGTATAAATGATTAACACGAGGAGTTCACTTCCTTTCCAAAATTAATATTCTACAATTAAACGGTGTTGTATAATAGCTATACAAAATACCGGTGGGAATATATAGCAGACAATGCTTTCTGTGTTATAGAGATTGTCGCCTCCAGAATTAGCCTGATAATTACGATTTGGCCTTAATCAAATAACATTTCATGTGAAACCGGGCAAATCTATGCATACAATTCAATACACGACGATACCTTTACATTAGACAAAGGATCATTTGTTATTTAGAAATGTCGAACAATCTTTGAAGAAGTGTAAACTTTTTTTAACAGTCAAGCACAAAACATTTAGTTAAGTTTTAAAATTATTCTTGAATCGCATGAATCTGCTTGTTACGTTTCAGTTAATTTTAAAACGCATTGGAATTTTTTGTGCTCTATGGGCTGTTAGCCATCATAGGTCTAGCGATCTAGAGGTGAAGTGAAACATAAACCGTGGATTATTTTTCACTGACCAGTTTTTCAAAATTAGAATCCGAAAAACTCGAAACAAAAATTAACGAATTCACGCGACAACAATATGGGGCAGGAGCTAGATAAAAAAAATAATAATTTTTATATCTTGTACATATGAATAAAATTATATCAAGTATATCAAGTATATTCACAAGTATATCTAAAGTCAACTGACGATCATCAAGCACCAGGGATTATGATTTGGAATCTACTTACAGTTCCATGAGATTTTACTGTATTAATCGGCTGTCGATTCATTTTGAATTTATATGATTGTTTAAAATTTTTTTACTTCTTGTTACTCCAGTATAGACGTGCATATACATATATGTCTCCGATAAATACATGGATGTACTATATATAAAGTAAACTTGAAGAATTGTTAGCTAATCCAAGTGTACTTTAGTTTATCGTTCATGCCAGTCACTTTGGGCTTCGTATAACTCACCGTAGGATCTGGCTATTAACCGTATAAAATTAGAGCTTGAAAAGTAAGAAACGGTAGGCGTACTTGAGCTTACAGCTACATCTGTGCCGGAACTTTATTGCCAATACTATAAATAACCAAACAAGCTGCTTCCACCGAGTGACGATATACTAGTGTACAAGCATTGTCAGCGATTTTTATATCTCTATAGGAAAGATCTTTATCGGAGAAGAGATATAAAAATTCCTTTATAACGATAATGTTTTACTTTACGAATGATGAAAAATTTATGTGAATGTGTTAAAGTTATTAATTGCAATTTTCTCGATTGTCTCCATATCCCATGGTTTAAAATTAGATTTACGGAAGTTGATTATCAGCGTCAACAGAAATTGCTAAAAAATAATACTTATAATTTTATTAACTTTAATTTTCGAATTTAACGCCTTTGTCACACACCTTTATATTCCATACTAGCCGGTGCGAGTTTGCAATTCACTCCAGTGTGGAATTTAAAGGTTTAACATGAAATTTGAAATCCGTCAAAATGACGGGTTCCGTAAATCTAGGGTAAAGACACCAGCCGTGAACGTTTCCGGTGGATAATAAATTGTGTTCTTGAATTAATTGACGAATCAATAAATCTGATTTTCCATGAATTTTAATGGACGAATTTACTTATCCTTGTACATGTTAGAAAGGAAGCAATTAACATGGAATACGATATTTGATCGTTTGTAAACAAGGGTGGAATTTTTTTTTGAAAATTTGTTTACTCGTCCAGTAATAGAATACATGTATATATTTTATATTACCTGACCGTAATTTTGATTTATAGTTGGGATCTAGATTTTTTATAATCTTCCGGTTATCGACAAATCGTGGACTAAGTAATTCATGGAAATTTTATGAAACGTACAATCTCAACGAGCTGATGGAATAATTATAAAAAATTTGATTTAAGGTAACGTGCTTTAAAGTTTTGAGATTACAATCGAGTAAATTACCTCTGAGAATTGATCTCGTTTAATCGACATTATACGTGACTGAAAACTTTAGGATACTTATTGTAAAAAAATTATAATACACAGAAGATTAAAAAAAAATGTCTAAATTTTCAATACTATTCCCAATGACATCTCTCGGACAGAAATCGATAATTATAATTATAACTTAAAAGAAATGCGAAAAAAAGACAATTAATACAAATTGTTGACATTCAATTTATAATTGTTCATTGTGAGACTCACCGTCGTAAACTGGATTGAATTTTTTCAGATTTCCATTCTCGACGAAACTTCAAATCTTGATTGTCTCTTTTACGAAACCGTTTTTCTGTCTCTTGTTCTTTTAACCCACTTTAAAAATCAGTTCCTCGTAAATTGACTTGAGCGTATTTGTCTTCCATTATTACCGTTGCTTGGTAAGGAATTGCAGGTTCGGAACGTCAATTCGTGGATTAACGAAGGATTAAAAGATACACCAACAACCCTCAATTCCTTTATAAACTGTAAGATAACTTTTAGGATGGGCGAGCGCGGAAACTTTCAAGACCTTTTGGTCTCCTTTAGATTAAAGTCGAAGGTAGGAGAATACCCAAAGAACGTGCATGAAAATGGAAAAAAAACGGAGAACAGATATAAAAAAGTAAAAAAACGAAAGAAAATATTTTAAGATTCTTATCAAGTTAATTCTAAACTATAGTCAGTGCACGAGTCCAAAGTGTTTTTTTTTGAAAGATCAAGAACAATGAAGTCTCCGACAAGATATACGTACCACTGCATACAATTTTTTGTTACGAAGTATGCATATGCACGGTTTAGCACTAAATATTTTAATTCTATTGTTCCATATTAACATATATTTACGTTATTTTATGGAAAATGAGCTGCGATTTGCTAAGAATTGCATTATTTGGGAACTGTCAAAAAAAAACACGTTGAATTTACGAACCGAATATAGCTTATTTGAATATTAAAAAAACCTTTGTATACCACATTATAGTGTAGCCTGCTGGACTTCTTTCTGAATGGCAAAAAACCATATACTGTTTATGTTCAATTAAAAAAAACACCTAACAAAATTGTTGATCTTTAATGCAGAAAATTATAACTCAAAATCTCATTAATGGGAAAACCTGCGTTAAGAGAAACTGTCACGGATGAAGAGCGCGCCGCAAACTGAAGTAACGCGTTTATAGGACCCGCTAGAGGTGGAGTTGGATACAGAGGTGGTGGAGAAGAGCTATTTCGACGCAGTCGCAGATAAGACGCTTTCGATTGTCATACACTGCAAGAGTTGGAAAAAGAATAAAACCCTAGTACAAAGAGACTAGTCCACACCTTGCCAAGTTCGCATCAAGTACAGGATCCTCAGCATCAGCAAATATCAGTGTCAGTGAACGTAGTGATGCAAGGTTTAGAGAAAAGAATTTTATAAAAAATAAATTATTTCAATAAAATAACAAGAAGCTGTTATCTAATCTTATCGGGGTCATGAATCACATCCAATTCTATATTTGAATACATAATCTACTCAAAGACCCCGAAAGTGAAAATAATTTATTTTAGCATGAAAATTCATCGTTTGACGTCACATCCTGGCGACAGGAGTTTGCGCATTAAAAGCCAATCTTCCAGCAGGCGAAGAATGTCCTCCCGTCCTTACTGTCTGCGAAATTTTTCCTACGTACTCAAAAAATTGGGATGCTGCTATGGAAACAATGTTTATCCGGTCCTGGAATAGCCGGCGCTGCTACTGGCGCCCTTAGCAGTATTTGCCAGATTGTTGCCGTAGGTGTTTTTTTTCGGAACCTGGGGACGCTTGAGGGAGATAGGTAAATTAATGTTTGACACGTGGTATAAATATGTATCCTGCCGTGATAGATGTGTTTTGCGAGATTTTACAGTTGCCTTCGTTAACCAGAACAACTTCTACTTCTGAAATGACAGTTAGGTAGGAACACGTGAAATCGTTGGTATTTCAATTTTATAATCGGTCCATGAGTTCGATATGCTTTTTTTTACAGATCGAAAAGAATGATTTCTCTAACAAGTCACAAGTAGCTCTGTGTACAATTTTTGTTATGAAGCATGCATGTGTGATTTTGCACTGAAATGTACAATATAGTTTTTTTATTTTACCATATATTCCCGTGATTTTATAGAAACCTGCGTGTGATTTTTTAACGATTGCATTTATTTGTGAACTGTCGATTATCAATTGTCGTAGATCGATTATAGCTGTCACTTAACCCGTCAGAGTTCACATTGGAAAAATTATAGAAAATTTTGTGTAAGCGTCACTTTATGGGCCTTGACGTAACGTTAAACTGTTAATTCCTTGAGATGATCCTCAAATTATGAAATGTCCCCGAAGGATACTTTTCACATATTTATACAAAAGAATTTCCAAATTGCAATACTTATTGGCTTAAACTCGTGAACCAATTTTATTTTGTAATTAAGTAGATAGATGGATACGATTACACATTATCCACGTGAGGATTAAAGTTGTGAAATCGGAGTAGTCTCGTGGGACAACGAGAACATCAAACCCAATATCCACTTGGCTTAGTTTTCCGGTAATTTGGAACTTTGTTCCTTCCACTTCCTCCAAAAGGAAAGTGACGTTGAATCTTTTGGGATGTTTCAGATCAAAGTTGTAGATATTATATGGTACCTAATTAATTTCCAAATATTCTTTTAATAACCCTATTTACAAGGTTGCGTATACATTATGCACCTCTTACATAATATTTATGTCCGATAAATGATTGATTAATGTTTTTAATAAATGTTGTTTATAAATAGAAAAAATCAGACTAGAAAAAACGTCACTGGACGATAGTAATTCATCAACCCTAAAGTGGCTCTTTCCATTCATCATTTCTATTTTCATCTCGTCCATTGGCACTACTGTACAGCTTCCCAGATGATAGTTGAATAAGTTCCTCAGCATTAGTGGCAAATGAAATGACACAATCACACAACATGGACACGTGTAATTCATACGGATCATTTCGCAATGTATTATGTGTTATACGTACGTATAACCACGATTTAAATGGTAAACCAGCTGACTTTCATTCACTCTTTTTTTCTACCTGCATTTCATGCAATTTTATCTCCCTCTTCTTCCTAGCTAAAAGACCCTTTTTTGCTTCCGACTTTTTTCTCTTATTCAGTACATTAAACTGAATACTTACGATCCTCGTAAACGGCATGCCGCTCGGCTATGTCCCCTTTGCGGTTACCTAATGAGCCACCATTAGGCATACATAACAATGGTTTCATTCACAATCCAAAGTTTCAGTATGTGTGCCATAAATAATATCTCAAACGCAATGCGAAATTCAGAAATGTTCTTTTCGTATGAATCTACGACGTTTACATTAAAAAATTGTATACATTCTTTGCCCAATGCTTACAGTAATGGCCGTCATATTTTTTTTTGGTACTCTATTTCATCCCATATCTTATACAGTATCTCTCATGGAATCGTAAGACTTGAGTTACATTACGTTTACATAGGTCAACAATCTCATAGACATGGAGTCAATTGAATATTGATTCAACGTAACGAATCAATGAATACTAAAATTTTTGAAAATAATTAAACACAGCTGTGGGTTATTTTTCTTTGAAATCTTTTCCATCCTGTAATCCTATTATTTAATACTCAAGATGGTCCACGTCGACACGTATATTTTTTGTTTAGAGAATATTCAATGGTATTAATTTTCATAGGGTACAAGATACTCTATGACATACGGTGTATCATAAATCTATGTATGTAGTAAACTGCTCGTAAACTCTGGGATTATTTCAAAGAGGAAAGTGACCATATATGGAATACCATTTTGTTTTTGTGGCATAAAAAACACTATCATGAATTAAAGGCTATTAATTATAAACACAGTCAGTCATACATTTTGGTTTATCTTAGTCATAGTTTTGTATTTTAATATTAATCGACATATTTTTTTTTTATTTAAAAATCTAAGTAACAGAATAGTAGCTATTAATGGAATAGAAACCCAAATATGGAATAGGAAAATAAGGAACAAAGTTTCTTAAAAAAAAAATCAACAAAAACAATAACATCTTTTTCTAAGAGATCTTGAGACTTTGGTCAAAAATAAAAGTATCTTATTCGGTTAAAATTAACTTATTCTACTTGCAGAAATCACAAACCAAGTTTCAATCTCTGGACCAGCGCAGTCATTATGTGCCCAGAGCCCATACGTTAAACAATTGATCCATGTTTCTCCTTGAATATTTTCAGAAAACAGTCCCTGACAGAACGTACATTCAGCGTCTGCTGTCAGGAGTTTGTTGTCCTATTGTGGCATCAGGCTCACTGAATTCCATAATTCCATATTCCATAATTAGGCACCTATTGTCTGTCCATATTTGGAATTTTAGGCAGGCTCAAACTTGTCGTCGTGTTTCACAAATAACAATAGCTACGCAATGAAACATGTCAAAATTATCAAAACAAACATCGATACAACACGTTAAATGTATAATAACGGTATTCTTACAAATTAACTAACGAAAAACACTTATTTTCTACATACCTTAAAAAGTTTGTTGGTGCCGACAAAACAAAACACTCTTGCTGTCTATACGGCGATCGTTTGACTGCCAAAATAAAATGAGTGCAACACTAAAGTGAGTAAGTGAGATAGAAGATGGTTGAATATTTCGTCTTGAATTGATTGTTTAAGAGAAACAGTGGTATTCCATATTTGGTCACTTTCCTCTACAGTTTAGAACTCTGGAAAACGAAGAGTGGGAAAGCTACTTATCATATGGTTCACATGTATCAATATATTTTCAAGTATCATATTCACGAGGCATAAGTATATCTAACCTATGCTGTACTACTTTGGCATACACTGGGGTTCATCAGACCCCAGGCCACTAAGTTTTCGCTGAAAAAGTTATTCTACGCTTAGAAATTGACTGGTGTAGCAATTTATACTATGTTTGAGGGTTTCCCTATACGATAGGGAGAAACTCGCATTCAGTAACTCCCTGAACCTTCAAGGGTACAGGTTTAACCTTTAGACTGCCGCAAAAGCCGCTTTTGGGGCTCTGAATAATTTCGCGATTCTGAACCACTCATGTGTTATCATGTATACATTTTTAATAAAAAAAAGATCGGTAATTTTACGAAAAATTAACAATAATCTGAAGGTTAAAGTAGTCCAAGCGTCCAATAGACCCCAGTGTACAGTTGATGTAATTGCATGATTCCCTGAGCAAATTTTAATTTTTTTATTTTATTTTTGCACTTACATTAGACTACTTTGTAGTGTTATTGTAATCGTTGTAAGTAAATATAGTAAGTCACGGTATTCAACTCTGTCTATACTGACATCAACGTGAGCGTCCTATACTATGCAATATGAAGAAACTTGGGCTTTTTTATATTTGGCAGCTGCTAGTCGTAATGAATCTTTGAGTTTTAATGTTCAAGAAATATTGTATTTTGAAGTCTCACAACCAAGATCAGACAGCCGACCGCGTAAAATGGGATGTAGCTTTATCCCATGGAATGCAGACCGAAAAACGATATACGTCTGTAAAGTTTACTCTCATGGAATTTGCAACGAGCACCGGGTAAAATATGTGCCTAATCTGCTCCGGGCAGTATTAAGTTAAACTTGATATCCTTCTTCTTTCCACATAGATTATTAAAATCATACTTTTCTAAGTAGCGAAAAATGAATCAACGTTG